GTACCCGGTGCCCCCTGCAGGAGAGAAGCCTCCAGAGCCCATGGACAGAGTTGCGGGGCTCTCTAGCAAGTGCAGCGCAGTCCCCGGGAGAGCCCCACAGCTCTTTGTTTCCCTGTCCCCGGCCAGATTGGAGACAGGAGCACAAGCCACGGGAATCGCTCCCCAGTATCTCGTAAAATCTCCTGTAGTGAAAGTGCCGCGTGTTTATCAGCAGGTGGCGCTGTTGCTCCAAAGGGATGAACTAGCCCAGAGAAGGACCAGCCCAGAGACGAACCCCCTGCCCGTACATAGATCGATGCTCTCCCCAAAGGGCTTTGGGAGCCAGGCCATTGGCTCCCATGACACATGACAATGGCCAGTCTCTCAATCCCTGTGTGAGGACATCCCCCCCGGGTTCCGAAAGTGTCAGGAGGGTCCCAGCGCCCTGTGACCGGCGCTACACAGACACCTGGGCCGGGTCGTTCTGACTCCTGCATCCGGAGCCCTAGGGCGAGACAAGCTCATCCTTGGCAGGAGCAGGGCGGGGCTCTTATAAGCAGCGGGGTATGCAAATGAGGGAGTCAGCGTCCTGTTTAAATCTGCCCCTCGCTCTGCCCAGGCTGCACCCGCAGGGACAATTCGAAGTGCCCGGAGAACTTTCCGCTCCAGCGCCAGGAAACATGCAATTTTTGCTCCTTCTCTGTGTCGCTGTAGCGGCTTGGGAAGGTATTTTCTTCCTCTGACTGACGGCAGAAGAATATTAAATTCCCCTTGCGTGGATACCAATATTGATAACTTGTCTGTGTTCCCAGGTGCCCGGTCCCAGATCACCTTGGTGGAGTCCGGAGGGGATGTGAAGAAGCCCGGAGACTCTCTGCGCCTCTCCTGCAAAGCCTCCGGCTTCACCTTCAGCAGCTACTACATGGGCTGGGTCCGGCAGGCTCCCGGGAATGGCCTGGAGTGGGTCGCCAGCATTTACAGCTCGAGCATATATTACAACGACGCGGTCAAAGGGCGATTCACCATCTCCACAGATAACTCCAACAACCTGCTGCACCTGCAAATGACCGGCCTGAAGCCCGAGGACACCGCCCGCTATTACTGTGCGAGACACACAGCGAGGGGAATCCCGACAGGCTGATACAAAAACTCCAGCGGCAGAATCGCTCCCCTGCGCCGCGCTCCACGGGGAATCCTGCTCCCGGCCCTGCAACGGGATCTATGACCGCAGTGTAAACAGAATCCCTCTCACTAGGCCCCAGGTCTCTACATCCATGACCCTGTGTCCATGAACCCCGGGGCTTCCTGACTATTCAGGTCTCAGTGAGGCTGGTCTCAGACTCGGCGATAAAAACGCGCAGCTTGGAAGAGCCAGACTTGGGGATCGGTTGCTCGAGGTGCAGTAACTAGAATCTAGATTTCCCGAAGTGCCTCCTAGCGGGGACCCGACATCCCCACGTCCCCCTCAGCTGCAGGGTGAGGGGAGAAACAGGAAAAGCAAAAGCAGCCGCCCGGGCCGCTGGAGGTTAAACACTTTCTAGCTGGGCACCGGGCACTGACGCTCTGGACCATCCTTCAAAACTCCCCCAGCCCTGGTGTCACTGTGAGTCTAACCGCGCGTCAGGTTCCCAACTCCTGGTGCCGCCCTACGAACACAGATGCTCACCTGATACCCCCAAACACATCGGGGGCCCCTGGGAGAAGCCACAAGCTTCTCCTCCCCCTACCCAGAGAAACCCCGAGCGTCACCCCTCTGTGAGAGGAGACTCTGGTGTCTGGTCGCTCACAGCCCCACCCCCACCTGCCTGAGGTGCCCGTCCCACCCTCCTTCTGTTCTCTGCCCCCTCCCCCACCCCAGCAGCCCACTGACCAGCTCGGCTCCTTCCCCTGTCTGGCTCCAGCTACAGAGCCCCGCTCTACCCCCAGGGGTTCTGGGCCCAACTCGGCTCCTTTCTCCCAGTGTCCCTGCCTTCCCCTACCTTTAGCCCGCCGCTCTTTTCTCTTCCCTGCCTGGTTCCTCCGCCCCCTCTGCCAGAGCTCCCTGCAGTCCAGTGCCCGGCTTTACCCCCCACAGATCGGCTCCTTTCTCCCAGTGTCCCTGCCTTCCCCTACCTTTAGCCCGCCGCTCTTTGCCCTCTGGCCGCTCAGGGCCCTTCCTGCCCCGGCACTGACCAGCGGGTGCACCAGAGCCAGGCAGAGCCTGGGACTCGGCAGGGGGCGCCTAGGAGCCGGCAGCCTCCCCCGGGCTGTATGAAAGAGCCCTGGTCTCACAGTCCCGCTACTGCGACACCGGCCAGGACTTTCGAAGCCAGGATCGAATTGACCGTCCGCGGGATCTAGGAGCCTCTTTGAACCCCCGGGCCTGGAGCTACAATTCCCACCGAATCTGCACAGAGAGGAGAAATGTTCCCACCTACGTGTGCGCTGCGCTGAGCGCCCGGCCTGTCTGGGGTGTACAGGGGAGACGTGACCCCGAGGGGGCATCGCCCCGTACTGAGCGCTCAGCCCCGGCCTCTCTCATCCCCTCCCTGCGGCAGCCGCATGCAGATTCCTGCCTGGGGGTTCCTGGTTAAGTACCAGACCCCGGTTCTAGGAGCCTCAGTCTCCGCCCAGACACAGCCCGGCCCGGCCCTGCCGGCTGGAGAGAGTCTCTCAATGGGAAATGAAAAAGGATTTTCTGCTGCTTCTCCTTTCCTTGCTCTCTGCCCTCAGCTGGGAGTGTCGGCGGGCAGCGGGGGAGTCAGGGACACACAGAGAGACGTTTGGTGGCTGAATCTTTTGTCGCTTTGTTTCACCTTCCCCAGGAGCTCTCGCTCAGGTGCGGTTGGTCCAGTCTGGCCCTGGCGTGGTGAAGTCCGGAGAGACCCTCACCCTGAGCTGCGCTGTGTCCGGGTGTGACCGCGAGTTGGGGGCCCCCGTCTCCTGCACCCCGAAATGGCACAAACAGACTCCACCAGCCAGTAGAATTGAGGGTGGTTTATTGCTCCTCCAGGATACAGCACAGCACAGATGTAATCTGGTTACAGGAACTGGGGCTAAGAGGCCTCAGGGCCCCCCTTGAGATAGGGGAATCCCAGCCCCCTCCCCAGTTCCTTCTCCCCTGCTTTCCAGCCAGGAACTAACTCTCTCTCTCTTCCAGCCCTGCCCCCCAGCCAGGGGCAGCATCCCACCTTCCTTTGTTCCTCTCCCTTGGGGGTGGCTGGTCAAACCGGTTGAGAGCCCCTCTTTGCATAATGACTCATGGCCTGTCCTTCTGGGTCGCGGTACCCACGGCAGCCAGTGGGGGTTAGCAAGTTCCCCCCCCACTACGTCACACCGGTTCTCCATCAGTGCTGGATATGCCACTGGCACTGGATCCGGAAACTCCCTGGGACAGGGCTGGAGCGGGTGCATCCATATGACAGGAGCACAAGCAACGCCCAGTCTCTCCAGGGCCGGGTCACCATCTCTGCGGACACAGCCAAGAACCAGGTCTTGTTGCAGCTCCGCTCACTTACAGCTGCAGACACCGCCCCCTATTACTGCGCCAAAGAGTCCCACAGTGACACGGAGCAATGCAGGGCCTGGCCTGAAAAGAGGAAACGGTTCCCATGCAGACATGCGAGGCACTGAATGTCTCAGGGGCTTTGCGGGCAGTGACACGGGTCAGAGCTGAAGCACCCACAGGAGGGGGATTTCCCAGCGCCCGGAGACTACTAAGGCTGCAGATCTTTGGGGGGATTCCCGTTCTCCTCCCCTGTCGGGGAGGTCACGTCCCAGCGTCAGCCGACGGTCAGGGCAGTGTGTGCGTGTGTGTTACACCCAAGTCTTCAACTGCTGAGACACAAAGTCTCATTGCAGTGGGCAGCCTCTTAATCGCTCTCTCTCTCCTCATATCTATGTTTTCAGCTTCTCAGGATCAGATGAGCCAGCATAGACTATGCTGATTTTACTGCTCCTTCTCTGCCCTGTATGCTTCAGGAACCTCAGAGAGGCAAATAAGATGGATGAGATGGGGGGGACGGTCTGTCTGGCTACACCCAGGCTGGGATCCCCTTGTGCAGACTCAGCTCACACCCTGGCCCCTTTCCCATTCATTCTGGGCAACCCATGTGAAAATCCCCGCCCGACGGGTTCCCCTTTTAATACCAGACCCTGGTTGTAGGAGCCTCAGTTTCCCCCCTGGCACAGATCTGCCCGGGCCTGGCTGCTGGGCACAGTTTGCACCTTCACTGAAGATGAACCTGCTGCTGATTTTCCTCTTGGTGCTGGAGGCCCCTTCAGTACGTGGCTACTGGGGATGTGACTGGAGGGATCCCTGTTGCACTGCCTGTAGAAGAGGAGATGTCCCAGGTAGCCTAAGGGCATGAGGTGCTCCTATCCCAATGCAATTCAGTGGCAGTTGGGTGCCTCAGTCCCTTTGGCCCGTTTTAGGGTGTGTCATTTTCACATGTTCCCTGCTCCCAGGGGGCAGGGCCTGACTCCCCCCGTCATTTCCGTGTTTCCTCCCAGGTGCCCTCTCCCACGTGCAACTGCGGGAAACGGGCCCGGGAGCGGCGAAGCCCGGGGAGTCCCTGACACTCACTTGCACCATCTCCGGAGACTCGGTTCCACGCCAGCGCCGCCTGGGACTGGGTCCGGCAGCCCGCGGGGAAGGGGCTGGAACGGGCGGGGCGCACGTGCTACAGGTCGGAGTCACGGTCTCTGCAGACACCGCCAGGACCCAGGTCTCGCTGCAGTTCCGCGCGCTGACAGCTGCAAACAGCGCCCCCTAGTGCTGCGCCGGAGACACAGTGACAGGGCAGAGCCGCGCCTGCGCTAACAGGGGGAAGGGGGTTTTCCACAGTGAGGAGACACTGGGGACTGGGTCATTGGTCACACGCGGGGGGCTCTGGCTGTGACCCTTCGGTGCCTTTTCCCGGGGTTGTTGTTCACAAAGCTCCCGTGTCTCTGCCTGGCTCAGGGCCCAGCCGGCCTGACGGGCCCATGAGTATGGCCCAGCTCAGAGACCCGTGAAAGTTCCTGGTCCCCTCCCAGCCAGACAAGGCACCGCCTCTGGGCCCCTCTTCTTCACACTGACACAAACAAGTCACGTGTCGCCACCCAGAAGGGGAAAGTCCTCGCCCTCTGCCTTGTGCAGGCTGGTTCGATCCAACCATCCCTATCCCCTCCCTGCCACCCTGCCCTCAGTGGTACGAGGGGTCGGGGTGTCCTTGTGTCGTCTCCAGCGAGTGCGGTTACGCCAGGACTTTGTACCGGGGTGTTCTGGCACCGACGCACCTATGGGAGTTGGGCGCTCGGTGCTTCAGAAAACCCCGCTCTGCACCTGGGCGAAGGCGCCTTAACCCGGGTGATAAAAGGAAGTCTGCGCCAGAGCAGGGAACCGAGCCTGGCCGTGCAGGGTAAAGGTGAGCGCCTTGAGAGATCCTGGCTCGCTCCCTTCTGCATCTCCGAGGAGGTGAATTGGGCTAGTTCAATGAGGCGGTATTAGGTGTTGCAGGGAGGGGATATGCAAATAAGGGAGTGAGTTTCCTGTTTAAGGCTGCCCCTCTCTTAGACCAGGCTGCACCCGCAAGGACAATCCAAAGCCCGCTGGGTCTGGGGAGTGATCAGCCAGTCCCCTGAGAACTTCCCCCTCCAGCACTAGAGACAATGAGAATTTGGGTCGCAGCTGTTTTCCTTGTAACAGCATTGGAAGGTATTTTTTGTCCCTGATCAAATACCAGAGTCAGAAGCCCAGACAATTATCGGCTGTTTTTTTTTTACCGCTTCTTATCCCTTTATTCGCAGATGCCCAGTCCCAGGTGCAGCTGGTGGAGTCCGGAGGGGATGTGAAGAAGCCCGGAGACTCTCTGCGCCTCTCCTGCAAAGCCTCCGGCTTCACCTTCACTGACTACTGGATGAGCTGGGTCCGTCAGGCTCCGGGGAAGGGGCTGGAGTGGATCGGGGAAATACACCCAAGTTCATCTTCCATCAATTACGCCCAGGCCTTCAAGGGCCGCTTCACCATCTCCAGGGACAATCCCAACAACCTGCTGTTCCTGCAAATGACCGGCCTGAAGCCCGAGGACACCGCCCGCTATTACTGTGCCAGACACACAATGACACGGACCCTGCGGCTGCTCGTACACAAACCAGAGCTGCGGAACTTCCCGCGTCTGCCGCACGGGGGCAGCAGAGACACGCGCCAAACAGCCCTGTCTGGAGCGCAGGAGAGCGAAGGGCCATCAGGATGGAACGCTCTGACGTCACAAATTAACTCTTTCGCTACTTACACATTTTAAGAAGTCGGTTCTTGGACAGAGAAGCATCTCCCATCTCCTCTAATACCTGGAAGAAACTGCTCTTAACACAAAGGAGAGATTTTCCCTCTCTCTTCCAGTTTGAAATTCCTACCTCCACCCAATGCCTTGTTAGATACAGAGTTAACCCCTCAGATCAGCACGCCTGATTATGACACCATGTTACATGCACCTTATAGACAAAGCAAAATACAGGACTATGTAGCACTTTAAAGACTAACAAGATGGTTTATTAGATGATGAGCTTTCGTGGGCCAGACCCACGTCCTCAGATCAAATAGTGGAAGAAAATAGTCACAACCATATATACGAATGGATACAATTTTTAAAAAAATGAACACATATGAAAAGGACAAATCAAATTTCAGAACAGAAGGGGAATGGGGGGGGAGGTGAATGTCTGTGGGCTAATGATATTAGAGGTGATAATTAGGGAAGCTATCTTTGTAATGGGTAAGATAACTAGAGCCTTTGTTTAGACTCAGATGTAAAGTGTCAAATTTTAGCATGAATGACAGTTCAGAGGATTCCCTTTCAAGTGCAGATTTAAAAGGTCTTTGTAGCAGGATGCAGGTAGTTAAGTCGTTGAGACAGTCCCCTGGGGATGACACGTCCCCTGTGAGCCAGAGCAGCCCCTGCCGGTCCCTTTGTACCCTCGCTAGGTGCAAGCCACATGCAAATCCCTGCTCCCGGGCTTCCTCTTTAACACCGGCCCCTGGTTCTGGGAGCCTCAATCTCTCCCCAGACACAGACCAGCACAGCCTTGCCCGCCTTTGTACCCTCGCTAGGTGCAAGCCACATGCAAATCCCTGCTCCCGGGCTTCCTCTTTAACACCGGCCCCTGGTTCTGGGAGCCTCAATCTCTCCCCAGACACAGCCTTGCCCGCGGGTCACAGTGTCGCTCTCGATCACACGCAATGAAGTGCCTGGTGCTTTTCCTTGCCCTAGTGGCCGCCCCAGACGGTGAGTGGCTGCTGCAGGGGCCGGGAATCACACAGCGAGGGGGGCTGATCGGATGAATTTCTGCCACATTTTGTTTTGTTTTCTCGTCAGGTGCTTGCTCTCAGGTGCAGCTGATCCCGTCCGGGCCCGGCGCGGTGAAACCCAGAGAGACCCTGACCTTGAGCTGCGCCATCAGTGGTGACTCTGTCACCAGTAATTGGTGGGACTGGATCCGACAGGCTCCAGGGAAAGGGCTGGAGTGGGTAGGAGAGATCGACTGGAGTGACTCTAAGTGGCGCATAAACTATGGCCCGGCTTTCCAGAGCCGCGCAACGCTCAGCGCGGATACCTCCAAGAACCAGTTCTCTCTGCAGCTCTGCTCGCTGACAGCTACAGACACCACCACCTATTACTGCGCCAGGGCCACAGTGACACAGAGCAACGCAGGGCCCGGCACGAAAAGGGGAAGCGGGTTTCTGAACAGGCAGCCAGCCGGCTCACTCCCTCTGTGCTGTAGGGGATGATGCAGGCAGAGTAGGGCCCCTAGCAGTGTCTCAGTGCAGGTAGTTTTCATACACACTCTCCTCACCTGAAGCTGAAGGTGGTTTGTTGTAAGCTGGAAAGAAACAGAACAGTGGGAACAGCTGGCAGAGAGGCTGGAATTGTTTTATGCTCACATTTGCTGAGTAGCCGGCAGCCAAGTTCTCAAACGATGCTCTATTCTCGGGGTGGGCAACCTTTTTTGGCTTGGGGCCACTGACCCACAGAAAAATCTGTCAGCGGCCACACACAAGCAAGAAGTAAAAACACAAAAACAAAACCCTTCACTGATGTGACCCCTCTGAGAAAAACACTTCCCACTTTCCCCTCCAAAGGTGGGGGGGCGGGCGGGAGGGCAGCCAGTAGATTTTGTGTGCTCAAGCCTTGCGGTGGGGCAGTGGGGGTCCTGGAGTGCCAGCACTGGCTTCCAGATGCTGGGGGTAAGGAGGGTGGCTGCCTCTGGCCCCTGGGCCTGAGGTTCCCACCCCTGCTCTATTCCTTCCCTCCTTTCCCCCCGCCCATGCAGGCAGGCTAATCACCTCCTTAAATAAGGAGCAGGTAAGCATGAGAGTTTAAGATTATTCTAAAAACCAGCAGGTAGTGAAAGGCCAATAGACTTTGTAGGAAAGAAAAGAAATGCTGCTTTAGCTATGTCTACAGTGGCGTGTTCTTGCGCCAGAAATATGCAAATGAAGCTAAGCATGGAATATTGCTGAGCCTCATGTACATACCTAATGAACTGCCATTTTTGCAGAAGAGGCTCTTGCGCCGGAAAGAACTGTCTACACTGCCCCTTCTTGCGCTAGAAAAACCCTCTTGTACAATGCCGCTACGCTGGTTATTTTCAGGAGTAACGGCATTGCGCAAGAGGGTTGTTCTTACTCAAGAAGAGGTAGTGTAGACAGCTCCTTCTGGCGCAAGAGCCTATTCTGCAAAAATGGCAGCTCATTAGGTATGCAAATAAGGCTCAGGATATTCCATGCTTAGCCTCATATTTCTGGCCCAAGAACCCATCAGTGTGGACATAGCCTCTGTGTTTGAACCAGAGACACTTGGCATGTTAGGCAAACATGATAACCATCACAATATAGAAACCAGCTGCTAGTGCATATTGGGACCCTTTCTAAAACTTCCTTAGTAGCCAGGGCTCCGCAGGGAGAGCTGTGAATAATG